TCATACCTCTCTCTCTTTCTATTGAATTGTTTGATGTTTAATTATGTTTGTACAAGTACAAAACAATATATATATATATATATATATATATAAATAAATAATTTTTAAATTTTTTTATCACACGCGTAAAATACAAAAATTTTTTTTTTAATATTTATAATCCACGTGAAAAAAAAATTAATAAAAGAGAGGGAGAGAGAGTGAGAAAGAGAGAGAGAGAATTAAAAACAAAAGGAAAAATTATTGTTAATATAAACGAGGAAAAATAAATTTAAAAAAAAAAAAAAAAAAAAATAATCACTTGGGATCTCCTACAGATGCTACGCAGGATCGTAAATGATAATAAATCTGTGGTAATGGAATGCGTTTAAGAGAAAAAAGTTTTTTTTTTTTTTTAGTACTTATAGTTTTCATTATTACTATTATTATCATTATCATTATTATTATATTATTTTCTTTCTTTCTTTTTTTTTTTTTTTGGTTTATGCGTTTTCTTTTTTTTTTTTTTTTTTGTTAAATAAAAGAGAGAAAATTTTTTCAAATGTTAAAAAAAATTTTTTCTTTTTTGAAAAAAAATTGCCTTTAAAATATTTGGCAGGGAATATTATTATTATTATTTTTAAACGTGCGACACGTTTTGTAAACTTGTCGAAGTCTTTCATTATTATTATTATTATTCTTATTAATACGATTTTATTTTAATAATGATTCATGAATAATTTGTTTAAGGATTTATCTGTTTTTTTTGTTGCAAAAAAAATTGTTTTTTCTTTATATATATATATATATATTGTTTGTAAATTTAAATTACAATTAAAAACTTTTTTTTATTTAATACAAGTTTATAGCCGGAAATTACGTCACGTTACGTCATGTTACGTCACGATTACGTCACGATTACAAAACAAATTTAAATAGTATAGGCTTGCCAACTAAACTTTTCGTTTGTTTATTTTTAAAATTGAGGCCTTATTAGCGTTAGATTTTTATTTTTTTTTAAAATTAATTAATTAATTTGCACTATTTTTTTTGCTGTTGTTTGTTGATGCCGCTATAAACAATTTAAAAAAAATAAATAAATAAATTATAACATTCCAATAATAATAATAAACAAAAAAAAAAAATTTGTTTGTTAACATTTTTCTTATTTTTTTTTTTTTTTTTATAAATAATTTGAATTTTAATTGGAATTAATAATTTATTTAATTTAATTAATAATTTATTTTATATAACGTTACAAATCCCTGCCTATTCATTATTATTATTATTATTATTATTATTAATATTATTTTTAAAAAAAGAAAGAAAATTTTGTAAATAACATGAAAAAAAAAAAAAAATTTAAATAGATTTTACATATATACTATAATTATATATATATATATATATATATATATATATATATATATATATATGTACGTATACAAAATTATTTATGTATATGTATATGTATGTACATACGTGTGTAACATTTTCACGAAACAATAAATAAATAAATAAAAAACAGGTTAACTGGAAAAATGAAATAGTTTTAGATATTAAAAATAAAAATAATTATTTAAAAAAAAAAAAAAAAAAACATAATAATAATAATTTTACAAGAGTACAGTGCAATTTTTTTTTTTTTTGTTTATTAATTATATATTAATTTTTATATATATATAGATTTATAAATATATATAATGTTAGGAATTTAAAAAAAAAAAAAAAGCTATGTTTGTTTTTAGCGCTATAAAAAATAAATTAAATGATAATCCAATTATCGAATTACTTTTTTCCCATTACTTATTATTAATAACGTAAACACGCGTTAATAATAATTATAAATAAAAAATTTATTAATCATCATCATCATCATCATCATCATCATCATCGTAATCATCATTATATATATTAATGAATATAAGACTCAATTTAAATTCAAATAATTTAAAAAAAAAAAAGGAAAATAAAAGTGAGGGAAATATTATCATCATCACATATAATTCTTTTAAATTATATACATATATTATTATTATTATTATTTTAACTAGGATTTTCTTACGTAAATCTTTTAATAAATTATTAATTAGAAGAAAATGTATTATTATTTTGTTTAACACGCGTAGTAGTTTTTAAGCTTCCACGTGAACGTTAATTTTTATAAAAAAATGTTTCGTAAAAAAAAACAATTGTTTAATATTTATTGATTGTAAACAATACTTACGATAATTATTAATTACAATCAAATCGTAAAAATTTATGAATGATTCGTTATGAATGAAACACGTTAAAAATTTTTTTTCCCCCCGTTATGATATATTTTTAATGCGGACTCATAATGTGACGTAAAAGCGCGAAACAAAAAAAAAAAATTTAACGTAACGCCTTAAAAAATAATAGCTATGCAATTTCCGTGATTACGTGTCTTGCAAAAAGTGTTACTAAAAAAAGGAAGGGAGAGGGACGGGGACGGTGGGAAAAAAAAAAAAACGAAATAAACTTAATTATTATTAATTTTTTACATTTTTATTAATGTTATTATAAATTTATTTTTCTATTTATTTTAAATTATATGACGACGTAGAAGAAATTCAATGATTTTAATAATTATTAATTATTTAATTTGTTTTATAAACAAATACAGGCGATTACGACAATCAAATCATTCGGTAGTCATTGCATGAAAATCATTCGTTGAAAAAAAACGTTTAAAATATTATTATTATTATTATTTGTTATAGATGGAAAATTTAAAATTTAAGAAAATAACGAGAGAAATATAATAAACAATTCATTACACCGAAAGTTATAACGGAAAAGTAAAAGAAAAGAAATCAAAAGTTTCAATAACAGGTACGTGGGAAATAAATCAATCAATCATTTTTTTATCGGATCCTTTAATTTGGGGTCAAAGGTTAAAAAGGGGTAAATGAAAAAAAAAAAAAAAATTTGTTTTGTTTTGTTAAATAATAATAATAAAAAAATTCAGGTTCAATTTTTTTATATAAACCAACAGGTTCGTTTGATTTTATTACAAAATTACTTTACAAGTAACTAATAAAAAAAAAAAAAAAAAAAAAAAAAAAGAATAATAATAATAGTAATAATCAAGTTATAAATTAAACCATCGTTTTATAACTTTTTTTATTTTATTTTATATAATTATTAAAACATTCCTTTATTATATTAATTATTTATTTCCATTTTTTTGTTGAAAAAATTTCAATAATAATAATAATAATAATAAAAGAAAAAAAAAATTTTTTTTGTTTTGTTTTTCTTTCTTTCATTTTATTAAATATTCACAAATTCAGTATAGAGCGACTATTTTTTTATATTTTGTTAATTTATTTATTTATTTTATTAATAATTTATTCACGGCCTGCATGTTATTTATTTATTCATTCATTAATCTACATATTAATTTATTTATTTTTAAATAATTCAGGTTTTGTTTTTTGTTGACTCCCGGTAAATAAACAAAATTTGACAAAATTTTATTCAATCGTCTAATTTGTTATTTAATCAAAAAAAAAAAAAAAAAAAAAAAAAGTTTCCTACCACTATTTTTGTCGTGTAATTAGACACCCTGATAACCAATTATTATTAACCCTAAAAAATTTAAAAAAAAAAAAACAAAGCAACGACGAAAAGCGCATTCATTAAATACAAATTACTTTTTTTTACCTTATTGTAAATTTTTCTTTTTCTTTTTTATCTTTTTTTTTTTTTTGAGTTTTTTTTCTTCTTTTTAAAAATGAGTTAAATGAATTAATATAATCAAGTTGAATAGATTTAAAATAATAATAATAATAAAAATAAAAAAAAAAAAATTTTTTTTTTGCCCCCCCGAATATTGCAGAAAATCACAAATGAAATTAAAAAAAAAAATTTTTTTTTTTTTTTTTTTTTTTTTTTTGAACGATAGAATCTGGCACAGGGATTTATCATTATCATTATTATTATCATTATCATTATTTTCATTGTTTTTTTTTTTTTATTCATTCATTGTATTTACATCACATAATTCTAAATTAAAAAAAAAAAAATTGATGAAATGATCAACCAACGTTTATATAGTCGCCATTTAAAATCGACATTTTTTATTTTTTTTTTGTTTGTTGTTTTTGCTGTTGTTGTTGTTGTTGTTGCTGTTGCTGTTAATTGAAAGGAAGCAAAAAAAAAAAAAAATCACCGTGACCGGTACAAAAAAAAAAATTGGGGCAAAATTTTTTTCTTTTTTTCCTTCCCTCCCTTTTTTTGTAAAATAAATTTTCCTCTTTTCAATTATCATTATTATAATTATTATAATTATTATTTTTATTATTATTATTAATATTATTAATATTATTATTATTATTATTATTATTATTATTATTAATATTGAATTCAACTACCAAACGTTGATAAACAATTTTTTTTTTTTTTTTTGTTTTTTTTTTTTTTTGTTTTTCGAATGAAAACTCTTGAGACGAAATTATTTATAGCTAGTTACAGTTTTAATTTCCTACCATTTTTTTTTCTTTTTTTTTTTCTTTCTTTCTTTCTTTCTTTCCCCCTATTTACAAAAAAATTTTTTTTTTTTTTTTTTTTTTTTTTTACTTTCAAGTTACTTCCATCGGGAGCGAATTACTTTTTCTAACACTCATCTGATTACTATTATCGACGGTTATTTCTTGGCCGCTTGATTTGACTTCGTCCGTTTCCACTTCCGTTGTTTTTATATCTATCGTTTCCAAACTGAAAATTTCAAACGGACGCATTATAATGTAATCACATCATTTTTATCATTCCAGGTATTCCAGGCATTTTTCCCCTACCTGTCGTTTTCCAAATCGACACCGATGGTGGGTTCACTGGTAGCCAATCCCGAGGGAGAACTCATGAGTAATGAAACTTTTCGCTGAGGCAAATTAACTTGCTTTATTTGATTTCCACCGACCGCATTCGAATTTGCCGATACGTAATTTAAGCTCTGATTATTATTACTACCGAGGTAATTGGAGGATTGCGAAGAAGGCGATAAAAAGCTTTGATTAACTACCAAAGTTGTTTGATTTCCCGTCACGTAATTTTGACCAGAAGACGACATTCCCTCCAACGTGAACACGCTAGGACTTGACACCAATTGTGTCACCGTCGGATTTTGAGCACTGATTGATGTACTTTGTGTCTGACCCGAAACAGCCGTTCGTATTATTCTCCTTTGATTAACTGTAAATTAAATTAAATTTAAACTTATAATAAATAAATTACGACGGGCGGAAAAGGAAACTATTCGCGATACTAACATCCAATACTTCCTGGACCGTTTAATACATTTTTTTTCCCCGTTTCTTGAAGTACAAGATTTCCATCTGAAGTTAACTGAAGGTTTCTCGCATTATTGCCTTTGTATGTTCTCAGTATACCGGGTCCTAAAATCAAATGATAAGTTTTACGTTAACGTTGTAAAAAAAAAAAAAAAAAAACCAAAAAGAAAATGTCGGTTGAAATTTAATGAAAAAATCACCTGCTCTGTACAAGGTAGGTTTCCACGCACCACCTATATTTGTTTGAATTGTACCGGAATTAACGGTTGAATTATTTGTGCTTTCTTGTAGTTCGATATCAATCTGACTCTCGGGTGGTGTCTGACTATTTTCCGGAGGTGATTCTTTCGAGTTGGTACCGGGTGGGCCAGAAATCGTGTAATTATGGTGATTTAATGCAAATATGTAATTGATCGCTTGCGAATGCGATTGCTGGGGAGTTTTTGCGTGTTCTCCGTTTCCCAATTGATACCCGTCAGGAAAATCATTTTTAACATTTAAACGACTAGTCAACATGTTTTCCGTCGAGTTTTTCTCTACGTTTCCGTTCATTTTCAACTGCAACGTGACTTCGTGATTTTCAATATCATTGCTTATATCTGATATTTGTCCGTAATTAGAAGTTGGTGATGTGGTGGCGGCAGCGGCGGCGGCGGCGGCAGCGGCCTTCTTCTCAGATTCTTCAACATTTAATTTATCATCTTCCCCGTCGATCATTTCTTCTAATTGATCCCCGTCCGTTTTGTCGTTTTCCAATGGCAAATACGATGGGGACACGAGATTAAATCTTGAATTCGGTGTAAGGCCGAAAAGCCCACAACACCCGACCACGTCGTTTTGCATAAGATCCGGTAGCAAATCGTCAACATCGCAATCGGTTTCGTATTTCAAAAAATCAGTTTCGGAAAATTCAAAAATGTTTTTATCTATTTTTAATCTCTGTCTTTGAAACGTATTTGATTGGCTATCTGAATAATTTTGACCCGTATCACCTTTAAGCGAATCATCTCCTTTATCCACCGCGACCTCCACGTCTAAACTAATCTCCGGCTCTTTTTTTATGAAATCATCATCTAATCCCAATTTGTCCAATATTGCAAACGAATCGTCATTGGTCTCGAGTTCCGTTTCCGGTATCAAATTAACTGAGGAATCGGCAAATAGTTCAGGGAGAGATATTTCGCTCGTTGTGAAAACTATCCTCTCATTTTTGCTTTCGTTTTGATTATTTTCTTTTGGCTTGCGCAAATTTGATACATTTTTAAAACCCCCTATTCTATAATTTCTTCTAAAAACGTTCATACCAGGACGATTCAAATCGGACACGGAATTTATATTAAAATTTTCGTTTTTTTTCTTTTCATTAAAAATTCTTTTCCGTTCAAGAAACGAGTTGGATCTATCCGATAGAATTTGACAATTCCTTGAACCGCGACTAAAACGACTATTAACACAGCCTTTAACTTTTGCGACATGACCGTCAAAATTATTTGTCGTCCTAGTCCGACCGATTATTTCACTCTCACTTATTGAATTACACATCACTAAGGAATCACTCTCCGGTTCCGAACTCAATTCTTCACATTTATTTGAAGATACAATTAACGTCTCATCCGCGCTACCTCTTTTACCTCCCGTACTGTAATTTTTATTTATGGTATTATCAATTATTTGTTCGTCATCTGAGGCATGAAAACAATTATATATTTCACAGCCTCCTATGTTTTCAACATCAATTATAAGCGTATTCGGTAAAGATTCAATAGCATTATCACTATCAGAATTAGTCCATTGATGGGTTTCACTCGTTTCCGGAGGTGTTTTAGGTTGATACAATGGTAAATTTGTTTTGTTATCGTACACATTGAAATCTACAGAAGACCAAAATTCATCAGAAAATCCTGATGTTCGATCCAATATTACTCTAAAAACAAATCATTTTACAAGTTATATTAATAATTCATTCTAATTAAAATTTAATATAAAAAGGCAAAAAAAAAAAAAAAAAAAAAAAAACTCACCTGCCGCCTCTACCTAATCTTTTCCTTGCCAAACCAATATGTCTTACCCTAGGCGTTGCAATACTAGTAGGATAGAATCGATATTTTTTATCGGCTTCACTAATTTTTTCTCCACACCAAGGCCAATTACTAAAACTTGATGTAGGCTAAAATAAATTGGAATTGATTCGGATGTAATTTTTTTCTCATAACTTTGGTAGTAAATATAACGAAAAGTTTAAAATAATTGAAAATTTACTTACAGGTAAATAACTACACCCTAACTTTCTCCTAAATGAAAACATTCCTTCAGAATCACACTGTGAGAGATCCGAAAATTCGGAACGCGTTGCTTCTAATTCTTCTTCCGAAGATACTATCGCATCTTGGGAAACTTGTACAGAAGACATTAAGTAATTTCCCCTGCTTAAAACGCTTCCGATATTTTCTTTATGTTTCCGCCTTTTATATTGCCTCTTTTCTTTCCGAGGAACTAAAATTTCCTCCTTAAAAAAAAATTAAAGATAAATTTATTTCGTTTTAAAAATAAAGAGCGACAAGTTAAAAATATATCGCACATTCTTGTTTACCTTTATAGGTACTTTACTGAGCCAATGCTGCTGATTAAGACCAAACTGATTGGAAAAGATAGGGGCAAAGGCAGGCCGAGGAGTTTTAATGGCTGAAATTTCCGCCAAAAGTTGCCCATTAAAATCTTGAGCCTGATATCTAATAAAAATAAAATCGCGCATTGTAATTTAATAATGTTTAATATTCCCATTTTCCATTTAAACGAATTATCAATGTGTCAAAGGTATATAAAAAAAACCTTTTTTCAAAAACTTCAATTGTTAAATGAAGCAATTCGCGTTTCGTTTTTTCCCTCCTTTTAACTAATTCTAACAAAGTGACCGTTCGTGACAGATCTCTTCTCAATTTCAACATTTTTTCATATGATGTTTCATCATTTTTCCTATTTTTCCTAGTCTGCATTTTTTCTGTCCTCCTTCTAAAAGCTAAATACGGATTGTTTGGGGCTGATCCAATTCTGTGCTCTGTTTTTACTACTGGTATGAGTGGTACAGCCTAAAATTATCATATTATGTTATCATATGATATTAATCATCATTATTAAAATAATTTAATTTCAATTAATTCTTTTTACCTCTAAAAAAAAAAAAATAAAATTTTCTTAAAAGATAGCCATTTCTACTTACAGTTTTGAGCCTTTTATTGAGCCAATAGTCATAAACAGCAATAATCAGATCATCATCCTCTTTTAATAAACTTTTAGCTCCTTGCAAAGTGACAACCGTTTGACCACTACCTTTTTCTAATCTGTCCATCATTTCTTCAAACTGTAAAATATGTGTCATTGCTATAAATTATCTCATTTAGGTAATTAATAAAATAAACAGTATAAAAATTTAATAATCGAGAAATTTCATCCAAAGTAATTTTTTTTCTATTATTCTAATTTTGATGTTTAAATAGCACGAAGCAACTTTTATAAAAATTAAAAATAATTATAAAAAAATTTAGGTCATTATAAAATACCTTAAGAGGTGTCAAGTCCATTTTTTTTGCTTGGGCATTGACAAATCGTTCATCTTCAGAATCCATATCATAATCAGGAATATCCTGTTCCATTGCAAAGGCTAAATCAAAATTGATAAAAATTGAATAAAATGTTTAATAATTATTATTATTATATAAAGTTTCATTATTTTTTTTTTTTAATCATTATTTTTTACACCAATACATTTAATTAATTAGAGATTTTTGAGAAAACCTACATGAAAATCTTTAACCTACTTAATCTTGTAACCCTTAAAAATCATTTAAATGATTAGTTTTCGACAACTTACGCTGCATATGAATCAATTGCCTTGGCATTTTATATGTTGTAGTGTATAGTCTGTCATAAGCTTCAGTGTCTTCTATGCTCGAAACTTCTGGAGTAGGAATGATTAATCCTGTGCATATGGCTCTTTGTAAATGATGCTCCTGTTAAAAATTATATTATTTAAATATACATTAAATATTTTCTTAATAGAATAAATTAATTATATAAAGAAAAAATAACATTTAAAAAGAAATCCAAAAATTATATCGAAGAACATTTTGAAACTAGTAAATAAGTAAAATTTATAGATCAAATAACATAATTTTTAATAAAACACATTAAATTATAATAAACATTTATAAAAATACTTGAAATACAGAACAATAATAAATGTTGGGGTATTTTTAATATATCTTTTTACAATTGTCAATTCAATATTCGCTTTCAATCTTAAATATGTAAAATTACACACATCATGTAGATTGAATTAACCATACATTCTTAATAATATTATTGACAGGACAAGAAATTGTAAGCACGTTATTGCTTTACTTTATTTCTGTAAAAATATATCAAAAACATTTTAATTTTAATGCATTAATATTGTTATAAAAAGAAATTAAGTCTTAACCAAAGTTGGTTAGTATTGCGAGGTAAAGTGAGAAAAAAATTTTTTTAAAATATATTAAGGCCGTTTTGGTTATAAAAAATGAAAAAGAAGTTATTAAACAATAAAAATAAATTCATTTTGTACAAATTCATTGCCTATTTTAGAGTTTATATTTCGAAATACATTTGAAAGGTACAACAAAGTTAAGAAAATTAGGGCCTTTTTTATTTAGCAAAAAAAAATTTAACGATAGACGAGGGAATGAAAATTTTTCGAGAAATATAAAGTTTGGTCTATTATCATGTTTTGGGGAAGGGTATATTAATAATAATTAACTTTTTATTTGAAAATAACTTAATTTTTTTTATTAAGCAGTTTTATATCAAACGTCGATGGGAGTGTCATCTTTCGGATCCAGGAAAAAATAGCATAAACAAGATGGCTTCCCAACCACACTCCCAAAATCATTTGTTTTCCAAAAACTTACACATTCTTCTTCTTTTTCCATCCCACTTGGCATTTGAGGAACTGCACGATTTATAGCAGAGTAATCCGGTAAGTCCGGAAGCTCCTCTGTCATATAAATCGGCATTGGCTTCGCAGCGTCCAGCGCTCGAGCCCGAAAAGAGAGCTTGCTCATTTTGTTGACAGCCTACAAACACATTACCCTCTACTAAGAAAATTGACAGAAAATGCACTAATGAGGGTCCTAGAAGGGCTTAGCCCTGTACTATTTAAAAATTAAAAACCACTACTTTGTACCCATGTTGACATTTAGTTTTCACTCTGTCACAATAAAGTAAAATTTGAATGCAAACATTACTATTAACGATGTTTTGTAAGAATACATCATGGCGGCTCTGTTCAGTTGTGATGATATTTTACCAGAATACTTTGCGCGGAATCGGCGCTCATTTCATTGCTTGCATTTAAGCAACTTTTTAAAATAAAGTATTAAAAAATTAATTGAAATTATTAAAGATTTTAATGAAATTTGTTTTTAAAAATTTTTTTAAAAATTATTATGTATAAAATTATAAATTATCGCGCTTTTAATAATTAAACTTATTCATTCATTTGATTAAGGTTCCGGCAACTCTCGAACAAAAAAAGTCGACTTATTAGTTGCATCCTCATTGCCGGAATATTTAAATCCAGTACCCTTATTTACCTTTTTTCAAAGAAAATTTTTTTTTTAAATAATAAATTTTTCTTCTCTTCGATATGGAAATAAATAATAAATCAGTTGATAGATCAAGGCCCATAAAACGTATTTAAAGCGAAGGTTTGGCGTTTTTAAGATAAAAAAACCTAAAGTAAAAAAAAAAAAAAAAAAAGACTTTTTATTAAAAACTTTATAAAAAAAAATTAGTAAGTTGCAAAAAAAAACAAAAAAAATTATTCTGCGATTGGGTTATACAAAAGTTTTATGAAAGCATCGTTAAAAAGCAATAAAATTCGATTTTTTTTTTTTTTATCCGTTTCCTTTAATTTTAATTTTAAAAGAAAACTAATTTAAACAAGTTTACTCACCTAAATAATTAAAAAAATTAAGAGCAATTCTTTTTCGGATTTTTTTTTTAACAGCAGAGAAGTTAGGCTATTATTGCAAAATAAAAATGTAATAATAATTATTGAATAAAAAAAAAAAAAATACAATTTTGTGAAAAATATATATGAAAAATAAATGAGATATGTTTATAACATAAATTATAAAAAAATTTAATTCAATGTGGTAAATTTGATATTTATGAAAATGATATACAATGGAACATTTTTACATATTGACACAATATGTCAATTTTTTTTTTTTTTTTTTTTTAACCTTTTTAATAATAAAATGGTGAATTAAAAAAATATTTTTTTTTATTACCCCCCGGAAATATTTTCATAATAAAATTATTTTTTACATATTGATAAGAATAATAAACATACAATACACTTTTCGAAGAAGAAGAAAAAAAAAAAAAAATGAATGTTAATACATTAACTTGCAATAATTTATATTATTTAATATTAATGTCACGTTTTTTTTTTTTTTTTTTTTAATAGTAAATATAACTATTAAAATTATTAAAAATTTTTTTAATTTTAAAAGCATGCTATTCGATTAATGATAGAATTGTTTTTTTTTTTTTTTTTTAATTTAAAAAAAAAAATATAACACAAAAAAATCAGGTTATCACATATGCGAGAACCTTTTTAAAATTACTTAGCCATGCTTTTTAAATTTTTGTTAATTTTTATTTAAGATTCACCTTCGATAGGCTTCAATCCTCTAATTGATAAATCATATACTACCTCTTCAATCTTTTTAACATCATATTTTAATGCATCAAATCTTTTTCTTAGTGAATCATTTTTTAAATTCAACAAACGAAATCCTGCATTTAATTCTGTGACAAATTGGGAAATTTGAAGAGGCCTAGTATAATCCCCATAAATAACACTATTGACAGCTAAACGAGACTAAAAAAGTCGGATAAAACATTAGTTAAAACCCATCATTATTAATTCGAGGAAAAAAAAAAAAATATATAAATATGGTAGTTTAACATGATTTTGTCAAAATATGTTTTTTATACAAAAAAAATTATTGAATATGTTGATTTTTTTAAAGATTTCTTACCAATTCTGAAGGTAATTGAAGTAATCCGATAAGATAATCTTCTAAATCTAAATGAAATCCATCTTTTCTGTTTAATTGTACTGAAAGTGAAAAAAATTAAAAATCTATTAGAAAATTTAATTATGGTGGGTTATATAAAAAAAAGAATATGTAATAAAGTATGCAATAGAGTAAGGAAAAAATAAACGATTTAAAAAAAAAAAATTATTTACTTCCCAAAGCATTGGTTACATCACTGTGCGATGCTAGAATTCCAAATTCTAAATAATTAATTAATGTAATTGCAAATGTCATTTTTTGACATACAAACTTCCATATATCATGATATTTATAATAATGACAAATATAAGAAGGAGCTAGAACATCGTTTAATTTTTTAAACAGTGGTTTAATATTTATATCAATAATGTCATGACTTTTCTTCACACATGATATTACTAAAAATTATAAATAAAAAAAAACCATTATTAAAAACTTTATTAAATGCTCAAAATAACTAACTAAGAACACAATTCAATTTACTCTTTTCTGGTGATCCAGATTTATGAACGATTTGCAATACAGTCACAACTTCACAACTAGCTTGTTCTAGATTTTTTACTATGTTATAAATTACCTAAAACAAAACAAAAAAAAAATTAATTAATTAATAAATACATATTATTTTATTTAGGTTTTTCTTCATCAACTAATAAAATCAAAACTTTAATAAATGATTTATAAATAATATATATTATATATTTTATAATTTATGTACTTTTTTTTAAAAAGCACTTCTTAAACCTTATCTTATCTTCAAATATTTAACAATTATGAAAAATTTCTTTCTTTATATAAATTTCGCTAAAGAAAAAACAATTTTTTTTATTATTGGTAAAATATATTAATTTCCGATGAAAATTTTAATAATAGAAATAAAATTATTGAAAAAAAAAAAACTTACTTCTTTCAATTCAAGCTCTTTTTCCAAACAATTTTTAACGGAAGAAAAAATTTCAGCAACATCAGATTCCATTTGGGGGAAAAAAAAAAAAAAAATGCTTTTAAACTTTAAACAAATAAATATGTTTTTTTAAAAAAAAAATATCTTTTAAATTATTTCATTTATTTCAATCGAATTTATGCTGTGAAAAAACGCGTTGGTGATGATGTATAATTAATTATTGAAAACCACTTTATTTCGATAAGAGGAGAAGAGAAAAAAAAAAAAAAAAAAACTATTGAATATAACTATTTTTTTGCAAGAACTAAAAAATTTTCTATATCTCTATGGTTATTTTGCAAAGTTGACCAATAATTAAAATCGTTACGTATATGGTTTAAAATTTATTTTATTTTATTATTATTTTTTTTTTTTTTAACGAAAAGTTATTTAAATGTATTTAAATGTTATTCTGAATGTATTTCTATCCGTGTATTTTCTCTCACATCAAAAAAATTTAAAATTTTTTAAGGCTCGCTTTGAATCCTTTAAATTTGATTTTATGTAAAAAAAAAAAAAAAACCGTTAATTTAAAAGATTTGTTTTTATACTCTATCCTCTTAAACCTGTTTTTCCATACAAAAAGTCTAGAAATTATTTTCTTATACTTAAATTTAACTATTCTACATACAAATATCCTCAATAATTAATTAAACATTAAATAATCCTTTTAATGTGCATGAATAAATAAAAAAAACTATAAAATTTATCCGTACATGAAAGTTTTTAGTAATTGGAATGGATTTCTACCAATGGAATAATATAAAAAAAAAAAAAAAATGATACAGTCATCGAAATAACAAAATAAATTTATTATATGATAAAAACTAAAAAAAAAACAAATTTATTAAATATATACATATTAAATCACTCGACAAATAATTCTAAATAATTTATCTAAGAAAATTTGTGTATGAGTTCGTCGAGTTCTCATAAAGGGTACATATTGCATAAACCATTCTATTTTACTCGGAGAACGATGAAATCTTTTTACAATAAATATAATAAATAATAATATACTCAAAACCGTACAAATAATTAACGGTAACGATACGTGATTCATAAAAAAATCTGCAAAAAAAAAAGGATGTAATATACTCATTTATATTATAAATAATATAATAATATGTATATATATATTACCCTTTAATCCGTTATTATATTGTTGATTGCAAGCATTTGATTTACATTTATTTATTCTATCTTCTTTTTCTCTCCGTTGTATTATTTCACTTTTTGTCTTATGCCTCGGAGTTAATAAAAGACAATGTCTACAAAATAAAAAATTTTTTATATAAAAACAAGACCCCCAAGATTTAGCCCCCTCCTCCTCCCCCCCCAAATAACATGAAATTACTTTACAAAATGTGAAGACATTCTTTTAAGAAGTGTTCGTACTTTATTTGTTTTTCGTAGCATGTCTTTTTCATAATATGTTTTAGGTTTTTTAAATGATTCTAAACTAAATTTCCTAAAAAAAAAAAAAAAAAAAAAAACAAACAAACAAAACCCCCACCCACCCCCCACAAAAATATTATTATTAAATTTCTACAATTTTTTTTTCGCATTACATTCATTATTTTAAATATAAATAATAATACCTATCGTATAAATTATCATCCTTGTTGAAACAACCTAAATAATAATAATTAATGCATATTAAAAAAAAAAAAGGATAATGATAATAATAATAATAATAATTTTGTTTTTCAATTAAATTAAAAATTACCTCTTAAAGATTCACAATAATCATCAGAATCATCATCATTATCATCAATACTTAATGCATCTTTTGATGTGTAATGATTATTTGAAAATATTGGTAATATTTCTTTTCCATTATTTATATCATTATTATTATTATTATTTGTTGTTGTTGTTGTTATTGTTGTTGGAAGAGGAAAATGTTTATCAAAAGAAAATCTTATAGAATGTCCACTTCTATCACTTCTAAATAATGTAGAAAAAGAAAATCTTAAATTTTATTACTATTATTATTATTATTTATTTAAAAAAACTTACAGTAAAAATTTACTATCGTTGTCGTAAAGGCTTAAATTACTTCTTTCTAATTCTGATTGCTTAAAATTTAAATAAATATTATTATTATTATTATTATATTATTATATAAATATTATAATATTATCGATTATGATGGAAAACTTAATGAGATGAGTGAGTACCAGGTAACTTCTTTTCATGTTTGTACTATCAGTAGAATCAGCTGAACTTATTTTAGATGATTCTTCAACGACCGTTTCCAATCTTTGATAATCATTTTTTCTAACGAATTTCCAATCGTTTCCATCTTGTTTACGCATTTTTAAATCACTGTCAAAATAATAATAATAATAATAATAATATTAATAAAATTCAAAAAAAGAAATAACCTGAAAAAAATTTAATGATTGTTAATCTATATTTAAGACAAACAAATTTTTTTTTACAAATTTAAATATGGCTCCTTTTAATTTTTTTTAAACATTTCTATTTCTATAAAATATTATTAATTTTAAATTATTATTATTATTATTGTAATTACCCTATTTGATTATATACAAAAAAAAAATCTCTACATAAATTTTATATAAAAAAAAAATTCACAATTTCCGGTTATAATAATAAAATCGAAATCGATACTTTAAAGTAAAATTTTCTTTTTTTTTTTTTTTTTTTTTTCTCAATAAATTTTTCCAATTAAATAACGTCAAATTTATCGGATCAAATTAAATAATTACTGAAAAAACATTTGAATATGTTTACTATCGTTTCCAATGGTGAATAATTTTAATAATAATTTGTTTTCCTCGTTCCTTGTAATTTTAAATTTTTTTTTTGTTACATACACTTAATTTTAATTAATAGTTATAAACTTGTCGAAAATAAATAGAGGAGTTTAAGTTTTTTTTGTTTGACGTACTTCCGGTGTAAGAAAAATATAATTTTTTTTTAACAAGTTCATTTGTTTTTAAAAATCGTTCATTTACATTATTAATAATTTTCGTCTTACTTATTATTAAAAAAAATATTTTTTATACATTTAATAAATAATTAATTTTTTTTTAAAAATGACTTATTCAATTCGAATAATTATTAACAATTTATTTAAATAAATAATTTTTCTTTTAATTGAATAATAAATAAAAAATAAATTTGATATCATAAAAAATTATATTAATTATTGTTTTGTGATAAAATATTAAAATAATTATTTATAAAAAATAACATTGTTTGTTATTTATATATAATAAAAATTTCTTATATATTTTCATTCATTCTTTAAATTATTATTATTATTATTATTATATATATTGCTATTTTTTGTAAAATCGTTTAAGCGATGATACATACTAAATTTTTATAAGTTAAAAAATATACTACATTTCCTTTCAGATTTTATTTATTATTATGATTTTTCCCATAAAAAAAAAATTTCTACTACTTTACTAATATTTATTTTGTTTTTTTAATTATTATATACACTATATTATTATTATTATTATTATTTACACTTCTCTTTTAAAGGATTTAATACATCTTCTCCTTCTCCTTCTCCTTCTTGTTTCAAATCGGATTCTGAATTTTTTCCTAAATTTTCAATCAAAGATGAATTTTCATAAAGAACTGAATTTTCAATTTCTAAGGGTTTTTCCTCGGTATTTTCTTTCATTTCCAATAATGATACGTCGTCATCTTTAGGTTTTTCATTGCCTTTTTCGGACGGTGACATTTCATTTTCCGAATGACTCGTAACGTTTTCTTCATCTCGAGTATTCGTATCGATAATCGTTTGAGATTCAGGATTGTCAGAATAGCTCCTAATTTGTTCCGGTTTTTCATCCGTATTCCCTTGTTCAATTCCTCGCTGTTCTTGCTCGGATTTTTCATCCTCAGAGTTTTCCTTCTCAATACCATCACTTGGACACGTGTTGTCACCATTTTCTGGTGGATCGCTTTCATCATTCTGTACTTTAATTTCTGCAATTAACAAATTAAAACATTTAAATTTGTTTAAAAAAAAAAAAAAAAAAGAATTCGTAAGTAAAATAATAATATAATTAAAAGTTTCACCTGATATTTCCGGTGAAAGTTCAATTTCTTTTTCTCCGCTGGTAATCGTTAATGACGTATCCTCAACTGATTTTCCCATTATTATGCTTTCCTCAGACAATAATAAATTGGTATTTTCTTCATCGGTTTTCCTTGTTTCTTCCTCAACATTTTGTAATTTTGTACTAGAAATTTCTTCACTCGTTTCGCAAACTTCTTTAATAACCTCCTATTTAATTATAAATAATATAATAAATACATTATAATATATAGAGAATAATAATAATATATACTTTAATGTTTTTTTTTTTTTTCACATTCTTCTTTCTTTCTTCTACTACCCTGTTAACACTTGAATAAAAAATTTTCTGTTGGAAAATTACCGTTTCTTTAACAATTTCCTCATCTTTTTTATTTGGAGAATCATGAATATTTGAAATTTCTTCTACCTCCTTTTCATTATCATCATTATTTGAATATTTTAAGATTTTTTCCGGTACGTTCGCATTATCATCATCATCATCATCATTTGTTTGCATTTCATCGGCATTTTTTTCTTTTATCTTGTCAGTTTCAGGTTCTCGTTCTAAATTTTCTGAATTTTCAATCATTTCTACGTCATCATTTTTTGATAACTCAAATGAACCGCAGGGGGAATCGGAAGATTTACGAACCAATCCGAGCATATTGAGAACATCTTGGTTTTCATCTTAAAATAAATTTTTTTTTAACTTGAGAATTTTCGTACCTCAGGTACGATTTTTGAATTTATAATTAAAAAAAAAAAAAAAAAATTCAAAATCAAACCTTTAGCATTATCTGAATCTTCGCTTGTTTCGCTTGATATTTGGGGGGACGATGAAATACTCGATTTAGAATTTAGGTACGCCGTCATTTTATCGCAATTAACCAAATGATTAGCTGAAATTGAAAAATAATAATTTTTTTGTCTTAACCGATGATTAATAATTAATTTAATTTATAATTAAAATGATGAATCGTACCTAATTTATTTCCCGAAGTAGTGAAAAATCCACAATCGCAATACATTTCTTTTGCAGGAGGAAGGGGACGACCGATAAAATATTGTGCGTTACAATCTTCATGGAAAACAGTGGAATGATCGTAAATAGCTCTTTTACAACACGTGGAATAAGAACATTTCAAACAATTATATTCACCGCTATAATTAATAATTACACGATAAGTTTTTTTTTTAAATATGATTAAATTACAAAAAAAAAAAGTAAAATTCGTCTGACGTACGTATAATGTTCTGAATCTAATAAGAATTCTTCGCATTCAATACAAGTTGAATTTTCATCTAATCCAAATATTTTCAAAGTGTTTAATTTATTTTCGTTAAACAAATTTTTCACTTTAATTGATTTATTTATTGTCGTTTCTGATAGAAAATCACATTTTATTAAATCTCCGGGTTTTGGCATTGAAATTCCTGTTAGTAATTCCTCATATCGTTCGACACCTTAATTACAAAATGGGATTAATCAACCGCAAGTACTTGATGATAATTTTAATATTCATCATCCTATACGAACCTGATACATTTTTAAAACTTTTATGATCGGCTTCCAAATGCTGCTGTAAAATTCCTTCGTGAATAAATGACAATTGACAATTATTACACTCTTTTATCAATGTCGATCTTTGATGCTTTTCCAAATGCGACATGTAAAAAACGACGTTTGATGAAATCGTTGAACCTTTGTAAGAGAGTAAAACCACTTTGAGACAATATGGACAAAAAACGTATCCATCGTTTTTATGAACCTGAAAAATTTTAAACGTTTATTATGAAATATTACAAACCCCACGTTTTATCATTATTATTATTATTATTATAAATGAATATTTATTGACTGATTTACCTCCGTAAAATGTTTTATGTAAAATTTATAAACGCTTGTTCTGAAATTACAAACCCCGCATTCGTACGGCATCTCTAATTCCACGTGAGATTTATGCATGTGAAACACAAGATCGTTGTGACAATTGAATTTTTCTTCGCAAATGTGACATATAAAATTATTAATTAATTTTTCATCGACTATGAAGTGAACCTGAAAGTGAATCATCATAAAAATACCATATTTATGTGTAACAAGTAATTCTTGTTAAAATTATAATTATACGCTTGTAAAAAAATAAAAATAAAAAAAAATGTTTTATTACCTCTTCGGTATGATTTTTCAAAGCAACGATTGAATCGAATCCCAAAAAGCAATATTTGCAATGTTGAACATTTTTTAGGGATACCGTAATCGCAGGTTCTGATTGACAATGAAGAATCATGTGTCTCATTAACTTGATACTATCGAAAAACCGTTTGAAACATATACAGCACTACAAAACAAGTAAAAAAGCAATTTAAATTGTATGGCATTTATCTTTTGTTCATACAGATTTTCCGAAACGTACTTTTACATTAAAATCCTTCGATGAAAATTTCTCATCGGCCAAAATTTGACCAGTTTTAAAACCGTAGTAATAATTTTCCAATGAAATCTGTTCTCCTTCGTTAATAAATTTAATAATATCATCCGATAGTATTTCCGTTTTCTTCTTACTTCCCTTTTTTTTAAATTTTACATTTTCATCTTTTCTCGTTTTTTCTTTACCAGGCAATAATTTTGATATTTTTTTATTTGGAGTAGGTTCCATAGATAAAGGTTGTTCGGCAATTCTTTTTCTCGCTCTCGTACTTTTTCCACATACTTCCATTGTTTCTGGCAACTCCTAATTTCAAAATTTTGCAAATTTTTAACTTGATCGGTATTTAAAATAAAAAAAATTATTTTATAAAAAAAAACTTACTATCAAGTTAAAATCTTGTTGAGGCGGTGATTTTAATCTTCCTCTCGCATTACTTTTATCACCGGTAACGGAATCCCAAACCGAATAATTCCATTGTTTAAATGGATTCGAAGCGACTTTATTTAGTCTGGTCAAAAAATTTTCGTTTGTTTCCAATTTTGTTTGTTCTGCCATGTGAGAAATAATATTAGCAAAAGCTTGCGAAGGTATGGGTCCCCATACTTCTCTCCAAACCAATTCGTCGAGAAATTGCTGGATAACTTGACGACTCAAAAGGGATAAAGTATTCTGTGAATGAGGGGAAAAATTTGATTATTTTAATAAAATGAAAATACGGTTACTATGTATGTTTGCAGTAATTTTATTAATTAATACCTGAAACATTCTCGGAACGATTCTTCGCAAATACTCCATAACGTTTTGATTAGAATATTTTGCATCGGAAGTTACTTGGAAAACCGTATGAAAGCCCATTGCATTTAAAGCAGCTTTATTTACGGTAAAATCTGTTATTATAATCGAATCTTTATCAACCCATTTTTCTAAAGGCTGAAGAATTCTTATAAATTTCCTTTTGAAACTTCTTTCATCCTGTGAAATATTTCAAAATTTTTTTGATTATTTTGAAATAAAAATACTAGTACTATTATTTAAAAACTTACCGAATGAGGTTCAACTGCTTTGAGACGAATCAATTTATTATCGTGATCCATGACACCTAAAACCTCAACTTTTACTTGTCTTTTGCTACCATCTTGAGAGGTCGTACCTAAACTAATAACTCCGACCTAAAGTTGTAATTATCATTATTGAATTTGATCCAAAATGGAGATGACATGTTTGTTTTTAAAAAACAATAAAATAATTTTTGCAAAAAAAAAATTTATGAAAATATTTTTAATTAAATTTAATTTAGTAAAAAACAATTACTTCAATTTTTTTTCTGGGTCCACCAATTTTTTGAAATTTTTCATGAATAGCTTGAGTACAAACTGCTCTCATTTGAGTGTAAAAAATTTTTACATATAAATTATCAACTTTTACCCATTGAACAATATTTTGAACGTTGGTTTGACACGCCCAATGATAAATAAGTTTTAATAAAGTAGACGGAGGATGAGGTGATCCTTCGAAGATGGATCCAGAAAACACCTAAGTTTTTTTTTTTTTTTTTAAATTGGATTTTTAAAATTTTTTTTTAAATCCATAAAAATATTTATTAATTCATGTTTTGTAACCTACCGAGACAAATTGAGATGGACAACAATCAGATATCCAAACGTAACCTCCGGAATGTGGAAATTTTGATACATCTCCATACATTCCTAATTTGAGTTTTACAGGGCTAAAATCACTATTTAAATGAGTTTGACAAATTTGTTCGCTTTTAATTAATCCTTGCCTGATGAGCCATTCGGTAAATTTACTGTTTGTGTACATGAGTACACCTTTAACTTTAGTATCTAAAGTAGAAGTATTAAATTAAATAAGTTTTCAAAATAAAAACCTTTTTAAATCAATAAAGTTTCTTAAAATATTAATTGAAATTTTTTTTTTATAAGTTAAAGGTAAAAAAAAAAAAAAAAAAAAAAAAAAATTAACCTAATGCAGTTCTTTCTTGAGCTATTTTAGTCTGATTCATAAATTTTGTTTTCAAATTTGGACGTGCTGTAACAACCAAACTAGGAAAGGTTTTACCACTTGCTTTATTTAATGCTATTTCTTGTGATTCTGAGTTATTTTTATTAACTGATGATTCATCTAAAAAATAATCAAATCTGACTTTAAATGTACAAAAACAAAAAAAAAACAATGAGAAGTAATAAATTCAACAAACCTGTAGTAGATTTCCAAATTTTGCATCCAATTAATAAACCTCCTAATGCATTACTTTCTGATGGTCTTGAAGAGGATGAAGCAGGCTTTGCATTCATTTTAATTCTATAATTACCAGATATACTTAAATTAGTGCCTGATGTGTGCTCTTGTAAAGTTAAAGGTGTACTTTGAGAAGTTAAAAATTGTTGTTGAATAGGAGATTGATGTTTAACTTTTTCCCTTGTTCTAATAATGGGAGATGTTAATTGTTCAGCATCTGCAGAAGACTGCTTTTTTAATCCACTTTTTGTTCTAGGCGAAATTAGGGTAGACCCTAATATTATTGACGGTTTGTTTTTTCCACCAGTCTAAAATGCAGTATTAAAATAATAAGTATAAGAATCAGATACAAAATTCAAATATTGAAGATCTTATTTTATACCCCTGATTTTAAAGTAGAAGTCATAGCGGTTTGTTCAGAAATAACATTTGTTGGTTGTATTTGACTAACCATAAAATGTAAATTTGGATCCATTAACAAATAAGTGTTGTTATTCGAGTTGGAACAAGGTCTTGGTAAAATTCCCTGGCTAATAATAGGTTGATAATCTTGATCATTTTGTTCGGATTGAGTAATATTTTTTGGCCCAGTTGTTTGGCAAGGTAATAATTTTTGATTATTAGTAGGACCTGATAGAATTTTGCTATATTCAAAATAAAAATAAATTACTGAAAATTCAGTGATAATTAAATTGCAACAAAAGAATTTAATTACCCACTTGGCATTTAATTGCAGTACCATACAATTTTCACTTTTTTCAATTATATCCGCCTTTAAAGTCTTAATATAATTATTTAATCTTTCTTGAACTTCATTGTACTCATTGCAAGCTTTGTTGTAAAAAGAAACTTGGGAAGGCTCCAGTTCCTCTTCAACGCATTCCATGTGTAAACCTATATCAGGTGGTGGTCTTTTGGAACTTGTACGATGTCTTGCCATTATTTTAATTTATAATATCAGTATACTTTTAAAATGTTTTAATTTTTCTTTTTTTTTTCTCTACAAGAACCAAATACGCTAAATACGGCGGTTTATTGTATTTTAATTATCTTAAATATGACAAATAAAATCATTGCAAAACAAATTAACTAAAAAATTAACGTTTGATAACAATACAATCAAGTCAAGTACTTGGGAAACATAAAATATGGCGTCATTCAAAGCCGGTAAAAATTATTACGGCGTTAAAAAGATGAAAAATATATAAAAATACTATTAAAATAAAAATCACTATAAAATAATTATAAATAATAATTAAATGTTTTGTAATGAATGAAAGACACTTTTTATTTGACCGAAACAGATTGTTTCAATGAAATTATCTTAAGTTTTTAAATTAAATATCTAACAAAATAATTTTAACAGAATTTTTTTTAATAATTACAATTCGATTCAAAAATTTATTTTTGATGCGTATTTAAATATTTAAAGTATATTAAAAGCAAAATAAATTTTATTTTAGATTTTATTATATTTAAAATTATAATCACAAAAAAATTAGGATTAAATTTTTAGAAATTACATATTAAATCGAAAGTTTTTTTAACCCTTTTTTTTTTTTAAATCGAATTTTTTACTTTCAACGGTTAAGATAATAAAACCGAAATAAAGATACAATTAATTTAATAATAATAATAATAATAATTTATAAAGTGTTTGATTTTTATAATTTTTAAAATTGTTTAATTTTTTTTCAAAAATTATAATTTTATTTTTTAAATTTTATCTGTGGATTAAATTAAAAATTTATTTTGGTAGCCCTGTTCAGATAAACCATTACAATTACTTGAAAACATATTGTGTATTT